TGTATGCCTGAGAAACACATAATATTGCCCCTTTAAAAAAACTGCAAAACATTTCAAATTAGTTTTTGCGTACCTAATTTATTTATTTTACTTTTAGCTACTGTTTGGCTTCTTTACGCTTTTAGCTAGCATTCTCCTTATTTAGGTTTGTAGCTACAGTTTTGCTCCTATTACCTTTTAGTTTTTTATTTTGCTGCTTTTAGCTTTATGGTATGGTTCAAATAATTTTAGCTTTTAGCTGGAATTTTGATTGCTTTGCATCATGTTTTGCTAATTTTACCTTGGATTTTACGCATTTTAGCCTTTGATCAGCCTTTTTTCTTTTTTAACAACCAAGTTTTAGCTTTTTCAGAAGATTTCAGCAGACTGTATTTTCATAAAATTGCTTTTTCTGTAGTTTCTGCTTTAAAATGTCCAAGGTTTGTGATGTATGCAAATTATTTACACAAATTCTTTTTTTGATTCTGACCCATGTGAATTTCTTAAACAGCAAATAATGTTTTATCTTAATACGTTTTCCTAATTACTAGATATTTTTTTATTTTTATGTCTATACAGACATACATAAAAAGTGTCTAGTAATTAGGAAAATGTATTAAGATTGATTTTATAGAAACAATGAACTTTATTAGATTAGCAAATAGTATGATTCCTTAGTGTTTTAGGTATTATTTTCCATCAGTTGTGAATGTTAACATTATGCTTTAAGATGAGTTTAAATAAAAAAAAATTTTTTTTTGGTTGTTTTTGCAGCTCCTTCTCAGAAACTTCGCCCCTTCCTGCCAGACAGGAAGTTGCCTCAGGAGCAGGAGTTCATGGTGATTGATGCTCGTGAGCCTCAGGTCTTCCTGCGCCAGTGGAGTTACGGACCTCGTCAGTGCCAGGAGTTCAGCTTTTCCACCCAGATAGACTGCAAGCTGCTGGAGTACCGAAACCTGACGTACCTTCAACTGCTCCAGCCTTCAGCGCTGCAGGTTGAGCTCTGCATGTTTTAYGTCTGCAAACATTAGGATTCAAAGTATTGAGAGTAAAAAAAAATAAATAAAAACTTATTATTTCAGTATTTTGTGTGTTTTAGGGTCAGGCCACTGTCACCTGCTGCCCCCAGAGCACCTCTTTGGATATCAACGTGTTTGTGGACCAGTTGTTCCTCAGTGTTAGTCAGTATGCTATCCACACTGTGGACACTGCCCTGCTCAGCTGGCAACAGGTAACACAAGCATTAAAACAGTTTAACACCAAGGTACACAAAAATTATATAATATGTATAAAAACAATAACATTAGAAAATTAAATGTGAAAATGTATAAATCTGCCTTGGAAACTGTTTAATGCTGCGTGAGGACATGTGTTTGAGYGATCAAGGAATCAACAATTTGGTTTCAAGTTACAACTATATGGAGGTGTTATATCATCCACTACATTTATATAGTGCTTTATAAAATGTYGAAGAATTAGGCATATTTACTGTCCTGTATTATTTAACACTTGTTAAAGATTTACTCGAGGTTTGTAAATCCRCAGAGAAAATCCGTCTGCGTTAGGAAAAGGATGAAAGACTGCCTGATGTCTGAGATGAAGTAGTAAATAATAAAGTGGATTCCATTAGATTGGCTCTGGTTGCACGCCGGTGGTAATAAAACTTTTACAGCGTAATTGCCTTTCTGTTTGGTGTAAATTCTGACTGAGAGGCTAAGTGGATAATAGGTCTGATGTCCTTTCTGATGTCAGCTCTCAGCTGCGGCTGTGGTAGCCAGGACATGAGCGGGTGAAGTGATGCCTGTGAAAACAGGCTCCATGTTGAGTGGTGACACCTGCTAAGACTTCATCTGGCCCCAGTTGTCCATTGTGCAACCGCCCCCCACCACC